TTATATATAATATTATAGTATAATTATAATATAGTTGTAATTTTTAATTATATTATAACTAAAATATTATTGTTTATTATATAATCTTATAACAAATCATAAAATATTATAATTTATATAATAATAATTTTATTATATTGTATTAATTATATTGATATATAAAATATTAATATTATATATAATATAAGGGTAATTTTGTTAATATGAAAATATTTATGTTCCATTTCATAGTATTCCTAAAATTATAACTAATTAAATAAATTAATTTTCTTTTTCATTCTATTATCATTACTATTCTCATTCTCATTACTATTGCTATTCCTTCACTACAACCAAACCCACTCTAAATTCTAGTTCTAGAGATGGTATTTAAGTTTGTTACCAATTATTTGTAATTTAATTACTGTTTCAGTCATGTGAACTTTCCATTAAAAACAAACAAGATAGATAAATTTAACTGAAGAATACGCAAAAGAACTGAAGGAACCTTTCTCTGGCTTTGTTGTCCAAAAGCATCAATTCTCAACCACCGCACAAGTGGTCATATAATGTCCGTTGCAAAATTGCTCTCTTCACGTTGTTACACATGGCAAGCCCCACCGAAATTTACATTTATTTATCCCACTGTTTGGAGGTTTTATCTGGGTTTTTTTTATAAAAATTTTGCAGTTCTTAGTTGGTAAGGAGGTGTGGTCCAGTTTCATTCTAGTATTCTTTTTAAGAAATATAAATATCACTTTTTTTATTATTTTTTTATCACTTTTTATATTTACTATTTAACATGAATTTTATTATCTTATTTTCTGATATCATAATAGTAAAATCCGTATGTCAAATAGTAAATGAAGAAAATAACAAAATAATTGAAGCTGACATTAAGAAAAACAAAGATTACGATAATGCAGGTACTATTTTTTCTTTTTTTTCATATATTGGACGGGGGATACAATATCAATTATTTATATTAGTATTTACAGAGTAGATAGAAACAACATGCACGACTCCTGGTCTTATCACCAGACAATGTGGAAAAATAGAACATGGCACCGCCACCAGCAAGACATTGATCAAATTGCCACATGGCATTTTCTTGATTGGATGTGACCCGAAAGATGGAAGGATTTTATAAAACATCCTCTGAGCGCAGGCTACTTCCTCAGAATAATCAAGCAATATTTTAAGGTCAATATCACTACTTCCTCAGAATCATCAAGCAATATTTTAAGGTCAATATCGTATACAAATTTCTTTAGTTGCTGATCAAATGTGCAGTAGCAGAAGATACCGCCATTGGAGAATCTTTCTTAACAATTGTTTGATAGCATTAAGGAGGTTATAACCTAGGAGGGAACAACTGTTTGATAACTATTTTCCATTGTTCTATCAACAAGAAAAAAAAAAAAGCAAGCAAAATTGCAGAAATCAATCAACAAATAAGCAGAAGGGATATAATATATGGATAAATCTGTCTCATACAAAATTTCCCCGCAAGGGGAAGCGGGATACTCATCCTCTTTTGTGGGTACAATCAAGGGAATAATAAGGCAAATGCAGTGCTAAGTAAAAACACAACACTATATGACCACTAAACTGTTCTTAGCACTGCAATCTACCCCCCAGAAGGGCAGGGCCTTCCCCACAATAAGTTAAAAAACAAACTCAAGAAAAAGTTATGTACAACAACCGCACCCTATAAGAATCCAATAATTTCTCCAATCTCCCCCCCAAACACTTCCCAAAGAATGATATAGAATTTAGCTGAACATAAGGCAGAGCTGTGTCAGTGACGCACCAGTCATCGATTGCCGGATGAAACCTTCATGAGGAGTCACAGAAGCTGCTACAGATTGAACTAACCTTTACAGAAGAAACAGACATCAACAGAAGTCAAATCTTAATTTTAACTAGCTCTCTCTTTGGCAATTCCCGGGCAATAGGAATTTGTACTTCTCTGCATTCTCCAAGAGGAATGCAGGAAGATGAACAGCTGAGAAAGAATGGGGAATAGGTCCCATTTTCCCAATGATTTCCTTGAAGGTGTATTCCTCTGGCAGCATATCGAATAGATCAGCTCCCTTGCAGATTACTCTCTGAACTCTCTTGGGATTTAAGTAATGAGAAAACCGAACTCTGTCGAAATGGCTGTATGCTTTCATCTTGAATATGAACTCACTGATACGCCGAAAGCAAAAGCTACAATGCCACCCTGCATCTGCCAAGATGTCATCTGTCTGCCGATAATGAGCATACCTCGTCTTTCCATTCTCATACCTGTGGACTGAAGCCCTCCAGCTGTTATTGTCCACAAGAAATTCGAAAGAGTAGAGATAGTTCTTCAGCCGAAGATGAAGGACTTGAGGTATATCATCACACCACCTCAAGAGATTGATAGTGTGCCTACTTGGGATCTCATCAACATCAGACATTATCAGCAAGTCATCATCAGAGATACCCGCTATTCTGAGAAGCTGGTCCAACGCCACTCGCTGATACGCTTCCTCAACAAATGGATTTTCCCCTCTCTTGAACCTCCCTCCAACAGTCCCATAAGTCAATCTAGGCTCAACAAATTTGAACTGATCACGATGAGCAGCAAAAAATAGAGGCTTTGGCAACCCAGTAAACGTTGAATTCGACTCCAGGACAACAAACTGAGTGATGTAAGGGTACAATTCTTTCCAGCGTATGGTGAGGATATCCACCTCATTACTGAACAACACAGCATCATAAACACGCCTCGGGTACTCTCGGACCCCCCAACCATGGAGTTTACAGAGGTGCTCCATTGACACATTTTCATGATAATAGTGCGGGATGTCGTGAAACTGTTTCGGGGGCGATTCCCACAGCGGCCGTAAGAAGTATGAGATCTTCTGTCCATGGACGTAAATGAAAAAGATGCAAGTTGGGATAAGCGTGAAAAGCAAGAGGTAGGTTTTCAGATCCAAGCCACGCAGAATGCAGCGGATTCTAGACATGCTCAAAACTTTGCTCGATTCCTACACAAAGCAAAAGAGAACGATTTTAATTTTCTACTGTTGAAGATAAAACTACAGAGCAATCGAAATTGCCATTTCTTGATAAATTCGTAGATCAGAGTAAAAGCTACAAAAATCATGCCTTTTTTCTATTTCACCAGTCACCACAAACAAAAATTTTCCGAAATGATTAGAGAAAATTATACCAAAGTAAAAGGCTTCATTTTTCTTAAAATTCTCAAATATATACATATAGTAAATACAGTTCGAAACCAAAAAGAGCTTCTAGTTATTCTTAAAATTAATAATAAATAATTAGAAAAACATTTTGCAAATTAGAATTTTCCATTGTTAACAATAAAACTTCTCAGATCGCGAATTTGTTGATGACTATTTTCTCATTACACCAGAGATCCAAATGCCCGATTTCCCCATCCTCTTCCCACATTACCTTACAAACTAAGCACACCGAGAAGATTCAAACTTGGGATCAAGCCGAATCCACAGATCAAACTATTAATAGCTCCCAATACGCACAGTTCCATAAACTTCTTTCAAATATAAAAATTAAAAAAAAAAACACAGAGTAGAGTTCAAAATACAAACCTGACCACAAACGTCGCCGCAAATATCATCGGTCTTCTTGGAACAGTAATGTCCCCCTCCTTCCCCCATCATCCACCACATTCTCTCACTATATGTGTGTGTATATATATATATATGTATCTTTCTCTCTCTCACTTCAATTGCAATTTCACGATCAAACACAGAAAATCAATATCGGATTCCGGGAAAAATCGAATTCTCAGATTCAGGTATTGTCGGATCTCCTGTTCGGAAACGCTTCGCTGGGTTTCTTTCTTCACACACTCTCTCTCTCTCTCTAGAATCACAATTTTGCTTCAAGCAAAAAGTTCCAGAATCGGCGCAGAGAGAGATGAAAAAGAAAATAAAAATGTTTATTGTTTGAGGAGGGGAAAAAATAATAATAAAGGAATGGGGAAATAATTAATAATTATAATTTTTATTAGTAGGAAGAGGAAGAAGGAAAGGCTGTGGCCTCTCTGTTATTGGGTGGCAGTTGTCAAATATTAGCAGGAAAAAGGAAACAGAGCCGTTTCATTTCTATTGCTTTTTATTATGGACTTTGTCTTCCAAAGATTTTTTTTTTTTTTTTAATATTTGCCTTATTTATTTATGTTTGTGTTGCAAATCACTAAAATCTAAAAATTCCTTTATTTTTAATTTACGAAAATGTCCTTATATTGGTGGGGAGTTAGGCGTGGGATAATGGGGTGTTATGGTCAGTTTGTATTTTAAACGGATTCTGGGTGGGTCCCACGCGCTACCTTGACTGGGCTCGAGACAACTGGGTCTGGCCGTGTTTGTCTGGCTTTGATTTGCTTAAGAATCATAGTGGGGGGTGGGGAATGGGATGGGATGGGTGATTTTGGGAATTTCCCCTGCATCCGAGTCTACGGTTATTTTATGCTTTCTTAGTACGTGGCGATTATGTGCTTGTGGACGTCTTCGTTGGCGTGTATTTACTCGGCAAATTATTGTTAAAGAATTGCACTTAGGCACTTTGATTTATTCGTTTCCTCTTGTCCAAAGTATTGCCATGTTTTCTTAACGATAAAGATCAAAATGAGTGAAAGATGCGAGGAGGACAAAAAAAAGTTAAAAGGCAATAATTTGAAATAAAAAAAAATTACCTTTGCTGTTGGCACTTGCAATGTAACTATTTATAAATGTATTTGTATTTCCATATAAAAATATTATAAAAGGGTACAAAAAATTATGACTTATTGTGCCTGTTTGGAATCATTTCCAAAAACGTTTTTCAAGAAAAAAATCAAAATGCTCTCACAAATGCGTTTGGCACCGCATTTCCTAAAAAACAAAAATTGAAAACGTTTTTTTACTTATTCCTAAAAAGTTAACAAAACTAAAAACAATTAACCATTGTTTTCCTTTCCATTTTTCTCCCCCCAGTTAATATATTATTATTTTAAAAATTGTTACATGTTTTTAAAAATTAAACCACCAAACACAATTTTAATTTTTTTTTTAACTGAAAACAATCTCGGAATGAAACTACCAAACACTTTTTCAGAAATGATTCAAAAATGAAATTGAAAACGTTTTCGTTTTCATTTTCATACAAAAAATAAAATCATTTTGTAACGAGTTCTAAACGCACCCATTAATACCGCATAATTCCCATTAGACCGATTTTCATTGAATTTTGTTAAATTAAATTAAAATTTTTTTATTTTTATATAGTTTTAATGTAATTTGAAGGATTAAAATAGTGGCAATAAAAAAAATTTTAACTCCACCATCAAATTATTTTAAAAAATATCGCATTAAAATTTATACAATTCTTTTTTTCCGTCTTCACACAAGAATTTACCCAGTGCTTCGAAAGTAAATTACTTAAGTAAATTCTTCGACATAAATTATGTGAAGTATTCTTTTTATGGTATGTGAACTATTGGCTTTTGAGTTCTATATTGACTCATAAAGAAACATGTTTTAAATTGGCACAAAATTCATTACTTGGTCTATGATTTATGCACATTATGAGGAACTTTATCCTTATCTCAAAAAAGAGAATCATGTTAAGTGACTAATTCAAAATTTGAAAGGATGTGTAGAGAATCATGTTAAATGACTAATTCAAAATGTGAAAAGATGTGTACGTGTGAGAGTGAGAAATCTCAGTCAAAATAACAACATCAACAAAATTTGCTCTAGTCCAACGAGATCTAAAGGTTCAATAATATTGTTACATTTCATCGTGATAAATCTTCACGTGTTACTAAAAAAATTTCATATGTGTGTTGAGGAATTGAACTTGCATATCATAGAATACGAGGATATTAGAATAATCAGAATGAATGAGTTGATTCAAAGCTTAAATATCCCTTTGACGTCTATGTAATCAAATCTCAAACCAACGGAAGGATTAAGAAAGGAAAATACGTGTAATACCATTTTAAAGAGTTTGTATTTCTAATTTATACTTAAAAGTGACAAGGGTAAATAAATCGATTTTATAAGTTGTACCGAGTTTAATTTACATTGTAATTATGAATGAAAATCCAAAAGTACTCATGAGTCTTAACCAAATATCATCTTTGCCCTACATTTTTAATAATTTCAAAGTGAAAATCGGCAAATTTAAAGATGAACATCGTAAAATTCATTTACAAATAACTATTTATGGTCATTCTACAGTGAAGTATCTATTGCTATTTTTTATAGAATATCTATGAGTACTATACATGCCTTATATATATCAAAATAAAAACTACATAACATGTTTGTAAGAGTGTAACTTATATATAGTAAAATTTTGTAGTACTTTTGAAACAAAAAAAAAAATACATATATATAATATAATGTTTTCCAAAAATAAAAATATATGTAAATAATTACAATAATGATTTTTAATTTTATGATTTGTTTTCTTTTTTTTTTTTTTTTGGTTGTATGCTAATATGATTAGAAAGGTTACATTATATATCTAACTCACTTTTTCTTTTTTCTTTTTTTTTTTTGCAAATTTGTTCTATTAAGGAATTTCTCATTATAAAAAAAAAAGAATTTTATCAAGATGTCTTAATGGGTGTAATTAGTACGAACAAGGAACAACGAAGTGCGTGTCAAAAAAGAATAGTTTTTACCGTTGGAAAGCGTGTTGGAAAGTCACGGAACGATATGCGGAGGTGACAAGTGGCGTAACTAATGTTCAGTAGAGGAATAAGTAAATAACGACCTTCATGTGGAATTATCAAAATGGGGCCCCACCATAATGATTGTGATTACTGATTAAGAGTTTTGTTTTTTTAATTATTTATTATAATTTCCTAGGAGAGGGTTACAATGCAGGCCACGTGGTTCCTTCGAAGAGCCCACACTAGGCCCACTTTCACGAACCGAATCGCATAGCCCACTTTCGTTTCACGCTTATTGATAAGTCGTTAATGACGGGGGAAGGCGAGAAATACAATTTACCTGGAAGCTACGAGAGATAGAGAGGAAGAGGGATGGAGAAAGGTCAAAAGATGTGAGGGATGGAAATATTATGGTAATCGTTTATATTATTTAGTAGGAGAAAGAGAGTTAAGGAGATAGATTAATGAATGTTTGTTTAATTATTATATGGTTTTTTTTATTAATTTCATATTAAATTTTTAAAAGATAAAATAGTCTTTTTAAATTTTTAATAGGAAGATTATATGGATACTTCTACTAAAAGAGAGATGCAAATTAGCAAACCCACCTTACGACTCTAGGGGTTTAAGATAGAAAAAGGTCTAACAGCATTTTTAATGTAATGTTATAATTAATGTGTCAATTGTAAATTTAATATTTGAGTGTAAAAAACACTCTAATACAATGCTATTTATTATGTCAAATTTTTCATATGCTTTACTTTGTGACAAATTTTTCACTAAGTATAACATATGAGAAATTTGACATGTGATTGTTATTGGTTGAAATGTTTACTTTTTCATGTAATTATTACAACTTTTACATATTCTAATTATTTTAAATATAAAAGTTTACTTTTACAACTTTTAAAGCTTAATAATTATGGGAAAAAAATAGATTTAACATTAGCATTATGCATTGAAGCAAAAATAAAAATAGCATACCATATCATACTTTTTGATGGTAAATATACAATTAACATTAGCATTTGCATTAAAGATTGTCTAAACTCAACTCAAAGATGCTAAATACGGGCCTTCATTATAATAGCTTTCAATGCGCATTGAACGAGTAGTTAGTTCAGTTTTGTATGACTCGTTCCAATAGCTTTTCTGTGAAGGCTCTATCTCTCTCTATCTCTCCGCTCCTTCCTCCTCTAATAGGGCCTTCATTATAATAGCTTTCAGTGCGCATTGTCGATTTGAGCGAGTAGTTAGTTCAGTTTTATATGACTCGTTGTAACAGTTTTATATGAATGTTTAGTCTCTCTCCTCTCTTTCCTCCTCTATCCCTAATCAAACAAGAGATTGGGTCTCTCACTCCACTCCTCTCCTTCCCTCCATCTCTCATTCCTACCAAACAGACTCTAACAATGTGTTTGGCAGGGTGAAAAAGAGAGAAGAAAGAAAATAGATAAAGGATTTTAGAGAGGAAAATGGAAATTTAGGTTGTTTGGTAGAGATGAAATGATGAATGAGAAAATGAAAATCTATTGAGCTCACTAATTTTTAGTACTTCCAACTTTGGGAAGAAAAGATGAGAGAAAAAGTTAGACAAACAAATGAGGTGTAAAATAACAATTTTAACATTCACAATTTAACATATTTTTATTTGTATTAGGGTATTATTATAAAATGCCTTAGATTTGATATTTTATTTTCACTTTTTTTCTCTTCTATCAAACAACATGAGAGAAAATCATTTTACTTTCTTCACTTATGTATTTCACTTCTCATTCTTTCCTCTTTTCTATCCATCCTACCAAACATAACACAAGTGTATGAGTCTGAATTTTTATCTTTTACTCTTAATTAATATATTTTTAGTTAAATAATTATATTAGTAAAAAAATTATTAATAAAAAATAAATAGTAAAAATTTAAACTCATATACTCTACACTCTAAAAATAAGTTCAATAATTTTTTCTTAATTAATTTCAAATTTTATGGGCTTTAAATTCTACTTATTTCATAATAATTTGATTATTTTACAAGCCCTCTCTGTTAACGATTAATGAAAAAACAAGAAGCAAATTAACTTGAATCTTGATAGTACATTCGCTCAAAAATTCCGTGTCAAAATTATTTGCGTTGTTTGGAAGTTGGACTATTCCATGATGAGATACTAAGCTGTCAACTACATTTGAAGCCCGCGGCTCAAAAGCACTCAAATCATTGATGAGTCATTTCTCTTAATCGGTATTCTCTTACGATGCATTTAGAGTAACGACATGATTCGAATTATAATTCATAATTTATTATAATATTTTTTTTTATAAAAAATACACATAAATTAATAATAATTTTAAATCATAATTTTTCATGAACTAAACGTCTATTTAATGATACAACATAAATTTTCCTCTCAAATGAAAAATAAAAGAAAATAAAATTAGGATAAATAAATAAATAAAATAGTAGATTGCCG